GGGCACGGATTGGGTGACCAAGGCAAGGTCCAATGGTGTTCAGTTCCATGATCCTAAAGGCCAATCCAATAATTACTGTCATGAGCGCGTATTTACTTGTGCCCTTGTGACTATCATTCTTGAATGGTTGAAGAATGTCATTTTCGGCTGTATTGGATGTTTCAGGTCAAAATGCACAATTGAGCATAACTACTCTTTCCCTAATATCTGGTGATATTTATCCAACAGACATATCTCTTATAAACATGATCACATCACACATAAATAGTTTCTACAACGGATATCGTAAATTCAGAAAAGTTGTTGAACAACGTCGAAATTCTTTAGATATTGTATACATCCAAGAAAAATCAGGGTGTGGGTGTGGATATGGGATGATGGTGGGGGTATGGGTGCGTGGGTATGAGTGTAGATATGGGTCTTTAATTCTCCCTGTTAGGGTTCGTTCCTTCTCTTATATATATATGTATATGTGTATATGTATGTGTACGTAGTATTGCACGTACACTAACCTTTATTTGGAAACATATATGAATGCCCCAAAAGAAAGAAAACATAAACCTTTATAGAGAGAAGAAAGAGAGGAAAATAAACGAAATATAGAAATGAGAAAGAATACAAGATAATGCGTATGTGACTGTAAAAGGGTGACATCTCCCTCACATACTCCCCTTTTCGAAAAAATGTATCCAATCACATTTTAACAAATGATATAATATGGAGTGGAATAAGAAGAAACAAGAACAATGAAACTTCATGTATGAGAAAGAAAAATGAAAATGAGTTATAATAATAAAGTAATAGCAAGAAATAACAAAAAAATAACAAGAACAAAAATAGTAATATAAACCAACTGTAATCTCAGATATATAAAATGTATCAGATACAATAATAATAAAAAAATGAAAGACATGGTGTATCTGAATAGGAATGTTTATGACATTTCATCATATCATATGTTGTTGATAGATAAGTGGATGAATGTAATAAATATTGTTGTAATGATTTATGTATATAAATTTTTTCTCTTTTTTTTTCTTTTAATGATAATGACGAGATGATGAATGAGAATTACGGTGACGTGGTTGTAATTTTTTATAATGTTTTGAATTAAAAAAATTTTGTGTTTGTTCTTCATATTGTTTCAATAATGATGATTCACGAATACCAACATATAAATTCTTTTGATTTGTACGTGACGTTGATACATTAACAGCAAAAAATGAGATGTTGTTTTGTCGAAGGATATTTTTGATTTGTTTTATTGTAAATCGATGATCAACATTTTTAAATATCAATTCGTGTTGGTAGTATCTTGTACGCTGTTTTAATGTACGTGATCTATTATGAATTTTTTTCCGTTCAGCAACAGTTAATGGTTCACGTTCAGATAATTCACGAGTTGATATTTAAAAATGTTGATCATCGATTTACAATAAAACAAATCAAAAATATCCT